GCACTTCCACTTTCCTCTGATCTGATGTTGAAGCTTTCAGATTTATTCATAGTTGTTTGGCAAAGAAGAGGAAGGAAGAAGTGGCGATTACTTGGTGCTGATTTGAGCCTAAACATCAAAAGGTAGAAACTCTATCATTTGGTTAACAATTTGGCAACAACTTTGCATTTTTCAAGAATGCATGTCTGAATAAATGCTCGTTCGTTTGCTGTTTGTTTTAAACACCTTAGAAGTCTAAGTGAATGTATCTATTTCTCCAAAGTGTGTTTTTTGCATGTTCAGACTTTGCGTGTAACCGTGTAACAAAGAATTAGAAATAGTAATTAGAATTCATTATCACCCCGTACATACATATACATCACTTTTATTTCACCGTGAATTTACAAGAGTAGCTGTATAGCTAATTTCTCCGAGAAAATAAATTGCAAAATCGCCTCGACTACGCGAGGGAGGAAAACTAGGTGTGGTGACGCAAGTTTTAAAAGGAACAATTTATCATGTAAAGATATTCGAAGTCAAGTCATCAACCGTCGCAAGCGTAGGCACCAAGATAGCGAATCAAAGGGATCTAATGAATCAGGAATAGAGAATTAATTGTAAGTTTCGAAATCGTTTGTTACTTTAACTGAGAATGTTGCAGATAGTAATTTAACTCACAATGATCTCAATTTCAGTTGATGTAACCACGGACGCAACGAAGTGTGTATACTCTAGTGCAAATAAATCTGACAACTACTGGTGGGCTAATATTCCAACTAAGTAGCACCTTCAACCATAGGAACGAATCAGTGTGATTTAGGAAGGTTGTATCAACGTCAATGTTCATTGGATTTGTTATTGCAGATTGTGATCATTTGAAGACACAACAGGAGAGCAAATCAGCAAAACCAAACAGTTACGCCATCAGAGTCTGTTCCAGGTGTTTTGAACATTTGTTCTTCAGAGGCATTTTAATCCTACTACTTTGCTTTCGCACTCTTAAGTCTCATTGGCTCAGTTCCTAAGATATTAATTTTGGCCTGATCGCCTCACTGCACGAATACAATCAATCTACAGTACTGGCTGAAAGTATTCACCCATTTCCCGCATTATTGCCACGGGGCCTCCCCGCGTCATTGACGCGGTATTCCCGCACTTGACTGCGTGTTTATGTCAGTAAACCTGAGGACGGTATTCATCCTGCCGTGGCAACGTTTGGATGAGGTATTATCTCGGTAAAGAAGACGCGTTAGGTTTGGATAGCATTTTGTTTTCTGTTTCTTCGCAA